GGTTTTGCACCAGGAGAGTAATTATTCCTTACATGACGGAATACCCCGTCATTTTCAAACTATTATGGGAAGAGAATCAGGCAGGAAGGAAACTACATCCGGCAGAATAAAGCTTTTCAAAGCCCTGGCAATTAACATCGATACAAATTCATGCAACAGTTACAATGAATCATCGCTTCCAAAACCCGTGACAAAAACCAAGCTTTTCCCCTAGTGTTTTCTCGAACCTAAGCGATATGATCACATAGCTCTGAGTGGATGCTACTCACTGCTTATCCGGCAAAAATAAAAAACAGAACCTGAACAATTTAGCTGTGGGCTGTTTTGTGATTCTCGTCTATTTTCTTGTTATTTGCTCTTCGTATTGTTGTCCTGGTGCAGCTGGAGATGGCATCTTCAAACACTTCCTACTCTCCCTGCGCTGCCTGCAAGTTCTTGAGGAGGAAATGCATGCCAGGCTGCATCTTCGCACCCTACTTCCCACCAGAGGAGCCTCAGAAGTTCTCTAACGTCCATAAGATATTCGGAGCAAGCAACGTCACCAAGATCCTCAACGATCTCCTCCCCCACCAGCGAGAAGATGCGGTCAACTCCCTTGCCTACGAAGCCGAGGCTCGCATCAAAGATCCAGTCTACGGATGCGTTGGGGCAATCTCCGTCCTCCAGAGGCAGGTCCAGAGGTTGCAGAAGGAGCTTGACGCCGCAAACGCCGAGCTGCTTCGTTATGCTTGCAACGACATTCCGACAGGGATGCCTGTGGGGCCGCTGGTAGCGCCACCCTCATCGGTTGCGACCCACCAAGGAATTGAGTTTCGTAGGGTGATTGCGAATGGCGGAGGCTCCTTCTTTCCAATCGCTGGTTTGCCTATTTCTTTTCCTTCTGCGTGGGGTGGTACTACTCTCTCTGCAGACCTGGGTGAAAGGCAAAGAAGGGAGAATCACATATGACCTTGGGAGAGGATGGTTTCATTATTTTGCTCAGTTTTTAGGGTCTCATCCCCTTCTGGTTTCCTGGAACCTAGATGAGCTGATGCGGCACGTAGGGGTGTGCCTCCTAATATCATTTCTACATGTGAAAACCTTCTCAAATAATGGGTACACATTTAATAGAATGTTTACAATGTGGGTCCACGTTACGATGCTGTGGCCTAAATGGGTGTGGCTCGTGGAATTAAGCTGAAGAAGAGCCTCATGTTGAAGCTTAGACAGCCTGAGAAGCGTGAGAGACTCTTTGGCGGTAAAAGATTGTAGATAAGAGTAAATTTTCTAACACAGCCTTAGTAAGAACAGAATATGTATGCTGATGTTTTAGCAGCCGTTGAGATTTTCATGTTCTTGCTTCTTAAGTTTTCTCAAGTCATTTCCCTTTTTCTGCGCGATTAAACGGATGGGTACTAGTTTTGATAACTCCTGTCTAACTCATCCCTTCGTATATAAAAGATTCAGAAAGTTTACCGCTTAATGAAGATCTCATCGTTGGTTTTTTTCTTTCATTGGTAAGCTACATGCTTATAAAGTTTTTTCATGAGATTTTAAACGGTCACGAGTGAATATTTCCCCTGATGTCCATGTCTTCCATTAAGAACACTACCATGGTTTCAGATTTCTTTCACCCTTCTCACGATAGAATACTCGTTAATCTCTATTCGTTCGTGGAATCTTTTGAAAATAACTTTCTGGCCAGATTCGTATAAGTTGGCGTGCACCAATGCTGTCCTTCTATCTCTACTCCTTGATATCCACTCTCTTATATACTTCCTCAGCTTATGTTTCCTTAAACCTTTCTCCGATTTTCTAATTGCACGAGTAACTAGCAACGTCTCTCTCTCTCTCTATCTAGCGCGCACCCGCCTTTCTGTGTTTAAAATACTACTATGTTATACTAACACTTTTCTTCTCTCGACAATTCTTTAACAAGTGAATCAAAACAACAGCTTCATATCGTGGCTTTCGACAAAATGATGGGAGAAGGTGTCTGTCTCTCCAGGAACGCCGTGTAAATTAACTCGCCGCTGGGGGTAGTTGCAATTGGTTTTCTGATAAACATCTTATCCTGGCGACTCATCCCAGATAGCCTCCGAATCCTCCACTTGGGGGGACTCCTCCACGCCCGTGCTGAGGCCAGGCACATCAAAGATCAGTGACTGATTGGACAGCTTGTTCAGAACTTTATTGACCATCCGAAAGGATGAGAGATGATAGAACCTACAGAAACCGCTCTGCTCGATGAAATCTACCTCGCATTTATCGTGGGAAGAATCCAAATGGTGATCGTACGCCCAGAATCCATTTTCACGTGTAACCGCACGAAATTTTTTGTTTGGTCTACGTTCTGCTGTAGGTAATAATAATATTAATTACACCCTGGTAAGAAAGACGACGAATTCTACCGCTCACAGGTTTCCAGAGATACTCCCTCGGTCGTTTCTCGGAGTCACGTCTTTAATGCGAATACCGTCGATTACTTCGACTGACATGGTTTTAATAAGGTGCTTCAGGTGGTTGAAGCAATTAGGAAGATGGACAATCGGTTATGTCCTAAGTTAAACCTTATCAACTCTCCGAAATACTTCTCGTCCTGCGGCGCTGCTGAGATATCTTTTTTAATAATCTTACAGGGTTGACTAATAATCTAAGAAAAGGGAGAGAGAGCCCACAAATTAGTGAACAGAAATCAAGCGTGCGGTTGCACGCGATGGCACATGACTAAGATTGCCTGTCGGAGAAAAAAACACGAAGCACCTACAAAGGTGAGTTCTCCTCATGCGTGGCTACAGTGCACGAGGACAGTATCAAAAAGCGTCTTCATGGCTACAGCACATGAAGAGACTGTCGGAGAAAACAAGCAGGAAGGAAACTCTGTCGGAGGCGACGGGCAAGGACGTTGATGTTAAACTTGACCGTTTCCTGCGGAGCGTCATCATCGGAGCAAAGGACGGGGAGTTTCCGTCTTTGACGCTGATCGTGAAAATTACAAATAGAGTAGAAGGCACACGGATCGGCATTGCCATTTTTACTCTTCTTCCTTCTTGATCTTGTTCTGCGTTTTACTTTCGTTGTCTGTTCTCTAGTTCTGTTGTAAACTCTCTCCCATTGAGAGGTTTATTTTAGTTGAGCATTTTTTCTTTGGAGATTCCCTTTGTCTTTGTTTGCACGCTTCTGTCAACCTTTCCGCCGTTATTTGGCTTTTGTAACAGTTGAAGCATTGACATTTAGTTCAATCCAGACCCTAGTGAAGCATCAGGCTAGGTCAGCCCCGATCTAAAATATTTTGGAGAGTTAGCTCGGAAGAGGACCGCAGACTCTATTACAAGCTATTCTGTCACATATTTTCCAACATGACCAATTCATGCTTGGTCTAATTTGCCCCAATTATACAATTTTACAGTTCTACCTTTTACGATGTCGATGCCTTATGGGTCCCTTTGGATTTACAAGCTACCCATGCAGTCCAGGCTGCGACCGTTCTTGCCCCTCAACGGGCAAAAGGTATTATGATTTACCAAACTGGGACAGACATGAAAGAGGAGTTAATTCGTTAGAGGAGAGAAGGGGAGATGAAGTTGAAATTAGGTGGGGGGGCCGAGTTCAAGAAGAAGGAGATGAACAAGATGGAAGGAGCAAAAGAGACGTTTCGACGAAGATTAAAACAAAGTCAGTATCATATTAGGTCCAGGTCTGAAAGTATCCTTGACCTGCGGGCTGCTCCCGCTCCCCGGAGATCCGCAAAACCTCGCCTTCTAGCTCCGGCGCGGTATGGCGCCATACTTATCCAAGATCCTGAGAAACGTGCGGACCATCTCCACACACATGCCCTGCAGGAGGTGGTACGGTTCTTTCCCGTCGCCCTCCAACTTGGCCTTGCGCGGCCTACGACCCGAGCGGGGGCTTAGGTCACGTTAACTATGTGCCAACTCATCCCCCTGCTGCATCACTATAGTTAGATCCTCCTGGGGGATTCCTTCCAGGCGTTTTCTTGAGATCCCCGGGGCAGAGAGAGGCCCTCCTCCCTAGCTATCTTTAATCTGCAGACGTTTACTACTTACGCGAGCGAGAGAGAGAGAGAGAGAGAGAGAGAGAGAGAGAGAGAGAGAGAGAGCGAGGGACAGAGAGATAAAGAGAACTAGGTCTCTCTCTCTCTCTCTTTGTACGGTAGTATCTGAAGCCGATAACTAGCTATAGCTCCTCCGATTCCAGTTGCAAATTTGAGGATCTTCTCTTGCACATTTCGTGCCGGTTACTACTGCATTGTTATTCAGATAATCACATCCACCGTCCTCCAAAACAACGAGCGATGTCGCCAGGCTGTGGCGTCCACGAGCGAAAATCTTATTTCAGAGATATTTTTCATATTTCAGATGCATCTGGTACTATTAAGCTGGATAATATACGATGGAACTAGTCGCATGAACCTCGGTCACCAGACGCATGCCCAAGGGAGAATCTGAGAACGGTTTGTCCGGTAGATGGTTCCAATTTCCTGGCGCATTCTGTTTAACGAGATCCAGGACGGAATACAGCGTGCTCATGCATCCACAATCAGACCAACTCGCTCCCTTTGTTTATCCCGCCCTGTCTGGTGTAGACCAGTCGCAATAGCGCTATAGGCTTCCCTATAAGCGCTCTCTCCAGCGGTCATCTCACCCTTTCCATATCTCATCTTAATACCAGGCTGCCCAGGCTGCTCAAGGCAAAATTTTTGCTATCTTTTAGAAACAGAGAGAGAGAGAGAGAGAGAGAGAGAGAGAGAGAGATAAAGAGAAGGATTCCACGTGCCGTAGTAGAAGTTGGGCAGGGGAGAGGAGATTCAACGAGGACAATCTTCCTGTTCTTTATCATGCAAAACCTGGACTGGTGCAAGCGTCGCCACTCTCTACACGTGTAGGTCGCTTCCCTCTGCTTAAGATCACCGCCTCCCTCCCCGCTACAGACGTACTAATCTATCCATCCATATTCGTGTTCTTTTTCCACCACCTCTGCTCCGTGAATATCGGCTGACAATGGCACAGCAGCAGCAAGCCCTGCAGCCCTCCTCGCAGGTGCTGGCGGTGGCCACACTCTTCCCAGTCGGTGGCGTCCTCCTAGTCCTCTCGGGGCTCACCCTGACGGCCACCGTCATCGCCCTAGCGGCTGCCACGCCGCTGCTGGTGATCTTCAGCCCCGTGCTCGTTCCCGCGGCACTCGTGGTCGCCCTCGCCGTCGCCGGCTTCCTCGCTTCCGGCGCCTTCGGCCTCACCGCACTCTCCTCACTCTCGTACATCTCCGTCTACCTGCGGGGGGATGCCCCGGCACGCGCGCACGCCGCAGCGTGCCACCTCGGCCAGGGAATCAAGGAGTGGGTTCAGCAGGCCACCTCCGGGGGCATGAGACCCGAGCTGTAATGAGAAGGGGTGAATGGGGGGGTGTCTCCATCGAAGGTTGTCTGAGTTATAAATAGATATGCGTAGTTCTACGACGCGGGTTGGGGATCCACAGCGCGAGGGAGGTAGACGCCGCCGCGAACATGGCCCGGCGGGAGCCAATTTTAGGCAGATGACGACATCGATACAGCTGTTCCAACACGCCATCTGCCCGACAAAAAGCATCAAAGAGTAATTATTCGTTTTGTCGTATATTGAGTCGAATGGGTGGCGAAAGAACGGGGGAATCGAAAGGAGTACAGCGCGCGTGTTGATATTCCACGCATGCCTGGGATGCCCTTCGATTATTTCGATGAAAAAAATGTTTGGATTCCGATTGACATAACACTCTGCAGATTTCAGAAGATCTGATCTGAAAGAACGTATTGTCCGTCTGAGTAAAAATATCCTCGATCGTCGAATTTGGAGAAGATTCCATGCTGAATCTGCTGGGCTGCACAAGTGGAAGCGATGATGTGCATGCTGGTTAGAACAACGTGGCCACTGGCGCAAGTAGACAATAAGTCGTTCATGGAATGGAAAGGGGGATTGTGGTATACATTCATAGGATGAAACCACCAGGTTGATGGGTACTAACTGCGGATGAAGGTATATCACATATTTATTGGTATGAGGATTATAGATGCATCAGAGCATATTTGCCGAACATCAAAGAAACGATACACTCAAAGGGCCAATATTCGTGCCAGCACTCACGTTGGAAAATAAAACGAAGATAAACATTAAAGATGTCAGGATATAGCTCAAAGTTACCGGCTCCATGCTAACCTCTAGTTAAGGTAATATCAACATATTCTTTCACCCTTATAAATCAAGGGTATGTGGATCTGATTGAGAAGGATCACTAGTCACACTCCCAAACTACAGTCATCATAAAAAATCCGTCAAGTACCCACCAAGAGCAACTCCTGTTATTTACATATTTTTGACATCAAGACATTGATATGCTATAAAACCCAATAGTAGCTTCATAATGCATACAGATGTGAGTGGATTAGTTCCCGACGATGAGATTAGGTTACTCCAGAAATGAGATAGGGGACTAACCTTATCCCCTCCATAAGCATCAAGAACATAGATGTTATTGTTCGTTGTTGTCAAAAGCATGGACTTGCCATCATTGCTAAATTTGATATCACAGACCTCGGCTGTATCTCCACCCACAAAAAAGGTATCAAATGGCCCCTGCAGTATGCAAAATGATCAGGAAAACCTATGATTAGATAAGTACAACGATCTGGAATCAAGTACTAGCCTTGTCATATGAACGGGAGTCAAACAGCTTAATGGCACCCCCTTCCATCGCTACTGCAAAAACAAGGCCCTGCTGATCAAATGCAACAGTAGGCCTACCACGTAAGCGCAGAAGTCCCTGCACAAACTAATACTGTGAGAACAAAATAATATTAAAAACAACATGAACAAAGGCAACCGCGTTTCAATTGGTTGAATTTCTGGTAGTGAAAATGCCTTTTGTACGAATTGCACATATGTAGATAGCACAGCGTCTAACCTGGCAAGCATTAACACGCAGATCCCATATTCTTACACTATGGTCGAGAGATCCTGACATAAAGCTGTCATTAACGGGAGACATGCAAAGCGAAACAATTCTACAACCAAAGATAATGGTTTGTGTTAGAAAATGAGCATATAGCGTAAAATCATTTCGTTGCAACACACCCACCTCTCACTGTGACCCTTAAAATAGCGGAGGCACCGGCTATCATACATGGAATGATTACGGAGAGGCCGGAGAAGAAGGTAGAAAAATATCCCCGACCGCGACACGTTCGGCTGCATTCTCCGTGCGTGTTCGCAAATGCCGCACACCAGAAGAGCGGTGTCCACCCACGGCAAGCTTATCTCCTCGGGACTGGGGACTGACCCTCTCGCCTGCAGCTCCCTCATCGCTGCATATGCCAAGCTCGGATCCGTCGACGTGACTAGCCGTGTGTTCCGCGCGGTGCAGTAACTAGACCTGGTCTTGTGGAACTACATGCTTTGGGCATATGCCCACTGCGGCTACTGACTCGAAGGCCTTGAGTTGCACAGGAGAATGAGGAGCTACGGCAAAGCTCCCGATGGGTACTCTATGGTGGGGCTCTCTCCTGTCTCCGGGACCCCATTTTGATATAGATCGGCGGGGGAAGTCACGGGATTTGTGTGAAAGGTGGGTTTGATCTGGACGCCCACGTGAGGATCGCGCTTATTAGTATGTACTGGGGATGCGGATGAGTGACCTCGATTTGGCAGATGTTCGACGGTTTGCGGCAGCAGCCGGATTTCCCCAGTTGTCTGCGGGTGAGTACACGCTGTCCATCAGGGTGTTCTCTGAAATGACCGCTTCTGTGCGATAGAAGCAATATGCCGTCTTGGTCGCCAGCGTGCTATCTGCTTGCGGCTTCCTCACGGCCATCCGGCCCGGCAAGGCGATCCACTGCTACGTATACCGACTGGGCATCGAATTGGATGTATCAGTCGTGTGTGCGATTTTGAACATGTATCTGAACTGTGTGTTTACCCAGCCCGGGTCTCGAATCTTCCTGACGATGCCTGAGAAGAACATCACTGCTTTTAACATCATGATATCAGGGCTGGGTTCCTACGGGCGTGGAGCCGAGACCATGGAAATCTTTGAGGAGATGTTGTCCGAGGGGCTCAAGCCCGACGAGGCGACCTTCTCTGCATTGCTTTGTGCCTGCAGTTCCCACGCAGAGTTTGCGATAGCTGCGAAGGCTCTGTTTGTGAGAATGACAGAGGAGTTCGGGGTAGCGGCGAGGACGGAGCATTATGTCTACATGGTCAAGATTCTTGGGATGGCGGGCGAGCTGAAGGCGGCGTATGAGCTGATAAAGACCATGACGACGCCGGAAGCGGGCGCGTGGGGGGCCCTGCTGTGGTGTTGCAACGTTCATGGAGATTAGGAGCTGGCGGAGACGATGGCCAGGGAGCTTTTTTGATCCAGCCGGAGAATTTCGCTTACAGAGCCATACTGTCGAACACGCACGCTGCGAAAGGAAACTGGGCCGTGGTCGGAAACTTGAGAGGTGGGATAGGCGAGTCTGCCGCCGAAAAGTTTCCTGGCCTTGGCTGAATTGCTGATGGTGAGACTTAGAAGACCGAGGGGTCGCTGGCATTTTCACGGTAGGAAGTCCAGCATTGAATTCTTTGGTTACAAACGGAGGAGGCTTGAATATTCTTATTTCATAGAATATTTTTCAAACATGCCACATCACTTGGAGTTAGACTATCGATTGCCTTTATATCATGTGGGCAGTACGACACGAACAGTTCCGCGTAGGGTCTGATGTTGTGACTCAATGACAAAGAAAAGGAACAAATGACTTTTCTACATCACTAAGCGTGAATTATTTCGGCGTGCTTTTAAGCAACATAAAATGTAAGTTATGCCAACTCTTAAAAGTTGTCCATGATGCTCAAATCTGGCTTACAAAGTGAGTCAAGGCTGCGTGGAGTATGAAAACCTTGAACTTTGTGCACCGCATCTTATTGCATGCATGCCTAATCTTCTATGTATTTTTGAAACGTAAAAATGAAATCTCTTTTCGATGATTTATGCCCAGAGGCTATGACTTATGTTCTAATGGCTACTCCATCATTAGAAGGCTGTCATTGAGAAAATATGGTAGAAAGGTAAAAAGTTAATGCTATTTTATAATTGAGTTGAAAGAATTCTGACATGATGTTGCTTTTATCTTATAGTGTTCAGACAAACTATGTGATTTTAAGATTTATTTAGGGAGAATGTTTTCCAAAGTATTAATATACAATATTTTTCCTCCAATATATATTATGATTGTGCATTAGTTTTATTTCATACATTCAAAGTGTAGTCTTTATGCAACATTTGAGATATTATTTTTATTATTGTATTTATTGAGGATCAGTTGGGTTATAGTATCCTAATTGATTCATGACATCTACTAAAACTTGGAACTGTTTGCACAGCCAACATCCAGGTGCACTTCATAAATTTGGTGACAAAGTTTTTGAAATTGAAATAGCTAACCATAGTTTATTAATGAAAAAATCATATTGATCACCTTTGCCAAAAAAATATATTTTAATAAAAGCCCAACATTCAATGATTTCGTTTTAGTCATTGTAGATCTACAAAGTTTTGACCTATAATTTATTTTTTATCTTGACAAATCACTTGGATTAGTTGGTAAAGGATAAGTAAAACTGCATTAAGTATATTTCACCCAACACAAAAAGGTAAACAAAAAATAACTTGTGTAATTAGATCACAATGTCTTACCCTAGACCATTGAAGAGAGAGTTCACATCATTCTATTTAAACATAGGTCTATCAATTAGGCCCTTGAAATCTTGCATTGATCAAAACTAACTCTCTTTCACCATTGTCACCTCTATAGGTTCCATGAAGGCTAGATGATACACCAAATAAGAGGGAAGGGGTGAATTGGGTTTCTATGAGTTATTTAAAAAACTCATTTTCCATCTATTAGTAGATCTGTTGACATAAGTTCTCTCATCACTCTCACTTTCCTTATGTGTTCTCTTAAGTCTCTTTCTCTTTCAATTTAAGTTCTCTCACAATTCTCTCTTCATCACCAAAGATACATAAACTTTTTATATTAATTTGTTCTTCACTTGATTACTTTTAATATTAGAGGATCCTTCTTACAAAAGTTTGTTATTTCTTATTAGAAATACATACTGATTTTAATAGGATGAGTAACCCAACCACACTAGTTCAATCTCTTCAAAGACCACACCCTACACAAGCAAAACTAAGTTCTTGATAGAAAGTATTTTATTCAAAATATCTCTTCACTCACCACCCAAGTACCTTGGGACCTGATGGAGAGCATCAACCTTTGAAATGAATACAACTTTAAATTACCAATGTTGAATGAAAGATTGATATAAATTTTAATCATTCATTGAAATTACAATGGTTGAACCTTGAT